TATTGACAAAACTGGCAATGCAATCAGGAAAATCCCCTGCTGCCTGCTGAAAGAGCAGATACACAACTATTAATGCTCACCACATATAAAGTGAGAAGTGAAAGTTAGCCTGTTCTCATCTTGCAGCAAACCGAGACCACCTGACAAAGATGATTTTCTTCTTCCTGTCCTCATTTGCTCAGGAAGCCTGCAAGCAGCCTTTCCCACTGCTCATTAGCTGAGCAGCCCTTCTCCCAGCCAAGTCTATACAGGACTCAGGCAGACCACAAATATGCGAATACTACAGCAGCAGTCTCAGCACAACCACGTTCAGATTTCTCAGGGAAAGGAAATGCAATACCTGTTGATTATTAATGAGTTTGACATGAAGGAGCAAAACCACACTGAGGAACAGCTGTGCTGGTGCTGCACTACACGTGACGGCAGCCAGGAGATTTCTCACGCAGTTTCAACAAAGGTTTCTCAGGATTTTCCCTGCTCTAAACAAACAGAAATGCACTGTTCTCCTAAGCAAGAGATCTGGCAGGACAGCAGTGTAAAACAGCACCAAACTGAGCATCTGTCTGTCCCACTCTCCTGAGGCTGGCATGCCTTCATTTTCATGAGGAGCAGTGCTCACAGACCAACAGTTCGACTCCCACAGCTTGAAGCATCAGTGCAGATTCAGAGGGCAATGCACTTTTCTACGAACAGGAAGAGCCAAACCCCAGTTCTGAAGCAGCTGTTCAGCCCACTGCTCCACATCCCCCAGGTCTCTATGGATGCTGAAACAGGAAGCACCTCAGCCTAGCAACCCAGGCCTTCCCTTCCCAGGCTCTCTGGAGACCTTAGAGTCTTCCAAAACTAAAACAAAAGACTCTAAGAATGCTCAAAACACTTTTCAGACCCAAAGGCACGACTAACAATAAATCCAGAAGAGGGGCCAGCTAAATGAGCTGAGCTAGGGACTACCCTGCTCGCCCCATCAATCACTGAGGTCATGAAGCCACTGTCAAACTTCATTATACACAGGCACACTGAAAATAACCCTACTATTTGACTCTATTTTTCCATTAATATTACTATATGGAATTTAGCAAGGTTTTGAAAAGCTACACCAATGCCACATGCCTTATCTTGTACTAATACGGAGACCTGCAGAACAATTCAGAGTATCTAATTATTCCAATTTCCATTTCCTGTTTTGTCCATGGATACCAACCCTTCCATTCTTACTTAGTTTTACAATACTCACCATCAACCTCTTGACTTTTCACTCCACAGGTTGTCTCAGAGTTGCTCCACTAAGAGATTTTCCTCGATAATGGTTTCCTGCCCTGATGACCCTAACAAAGAAACTTCTCAGCCAGAGCCTGCTAAATCCCATTCCTCTGCCATTGTGTATAGGAGCAAAAGGTGGAAGAGAACTTCACATACATGACATTTATTCTATTCTTAGGCTGAAGCAGCCACTTCTCTCATGCAGTTCTTTTACGTGAAGATTTTATCATCTGAGCGTATACACCTTGCTTAGCTCATCTGCAGTTCTGACTTGTGTACAGTTTGATACTATCTACAAATGCAGGTAACACATCTTTGAAAAGAAGGGAGATAGAAAAGTACTATCAAGAAAACGCATTTTCCATCTCTAATCCTGATTACACAACTGTTTATATATAGAAAGCATTCACTTTTTCAATGTAAAATCCAAATGTTTTTGCACTTGGTGCTGCTACAAATAAGCATGCTGAGAGAAGGCAAAAAGAGCCGAGTAACCAGATAAACTACTCTGACATCAAACAAACTTATTTGTAAGACAGAAAGAAAGGTAGGAAGGGGGGGGGG